TTGATAAACTTCCATTTGAATCAAAAATATTTTAAATACAGCTATATTTTATACAATGTATTTTTTTACAATTGTATTAATTAAGTTACTTATAACACGCACTGTATTCTAAATGTTATTACCCCCAAATGTGTATCTTTAACCGCAGAGGAAGTAAATAAATATATAGGCTGAATTATCTATTCCATCTAAGATTTTATAATTGGTTTGCAAATAAACAAAAATATTTTTCAGCTTCTCGAATGTTGTACCATGTTGCATTAACCTACATTTTAAAACAACAAGTTTATTTCCGGTTGATGACAGATAAAATGACTATGGACAAAATTTGTTTTTTTCCTTAATGATGCAAATATTAACTTACAAGATTAAATAAACTAAATTATAATTTCATGAACTTAGCCAAACTTAAGCCTTTTTTCCACTTCATGTTTAGTCAATCAGCAAATATTTAAATACTATTTGATCTATCAAGAACATATTAGGATTATTTAATTTTTTTTTCTCCTGAGAACTCTTTTCTTTTATCATGGTTTTAATTGCTTCAGTTTCCGTGCATGTTATATGCTTCCTTTAAACATTATTATCATTTTCTTTACTGCACTCCGCTCCACTGGAATGACGCTGGCGAACATTGCACTACGCCACGAAGTGTGCACATTGCACGTAAAGATTTTTTTTATTATATTTTATTTTTGTAGCTAGGAAATATTTCACGCTTAAATATTACCCACAGGCGTAGCTTGTCCCGACTCACAAGACACATTACGCGAGTTAGAAATGTATTTTTAGTGGTATTAATCCCAATCTAGGGGAATGAAATTTTGTTCTGGAAGTAAATGGAGTATTAGCTATGGTGACAGTTTGAGGCAGATTGTGCGGTTGCCAAAAAAGCTTTCACGCTGAAAGCCGGCTAAATACGGAGCTGGTACAGACGCTCATCGCGCGTTCACACCTCATAGAAGCGAGAAGGCATCCACACTGAAGCGAGAAATGCGATTCCTTAATAGTCCGAATGTTATGATATCTTTCTTAAACCCCCACTGCACAGTTCAGTAGTACAAACGCTGTGTCATATTTCTTATTTATTTTCCACAGCGCAAGATTATCACGTTATCTCGGGTTACTATAGTCTGTCTAAGAGCAGAACCCCTATTATCATTCATCTGGATCATCGGGATGGTGAATATGGCTACGAGGTTTAACTATTTCACGTAACCTCTACTTGAAATAGTTGAACCTCGAAATCGATATTTGACACGTAATCAATAGTTGGATCGACATTTGAACGTATTTTTGTTCGGGTCGGCAAGCGAGAAGGAGTCAGAGTAGAGGGAAGCTCTTTAAATGTGCTACTTTTTTTATTTCCATAGCTGCAAACGGTGTTGGACTTAATGGTGAGGGGAGTTCTTTCGATAGACAAACTATAAATTAATCTGTTCGAAGTCTTTCTCTCTTCTAGGAGGCATTGGTTGGTGCCGACAATTAACTACGATATGAGCCGGGATGGTTCAGGAGATAGAGCCTTCGCCTTTCAACGAGGTGAACCGGGCTCAAATCCCAGCGATGGCTGACTTATACGAACTCCGCATCCGGTTTACACCGTCCACAGCGCTGACGTAAAATATATTTTGTTTTAGATGGATTACGAATTAGAGTCCTCTTGCTATCAGACTAACCGTGGGAAGTTTTCGTTTTTTCTACTCCCCATGCGTCGCAAATGCGGGTTAGCTCCACCAAAAAGTCCCCCACGAAGACAAATTTCTCCCAATATTTCGTCCAGGAGTTCCCTTGTCTTCTGGATCGGGATCAAAGTTACAAAGCTAGGTAATTGAACATTAGCAGTCAGAATTCCGAAAAATTGAGTCGGCTGTTCAACAACGGTTATATAATAAAAATAAAATATGCAACGCTAGTAACGAAAGGATTAAACGCCTCCACTCCCTTTCCTTCCATCTACTTTAGAAAATATACAGAAATATCTTTCTCTATAAATCAAAAACATCTAATATCAATTGAATTACTCGAGTAATCGGAATAATCAATTGACCAATAAAGAAATAAATCAATTCCAACAAAAAATAAGTTACGTCGTTAGGTAATTTACTTTATGCCTAAAGAAAAATAACTTTGAATTATCACTAGGATGACAGTAACATAACTATTGCGTCATTATATGAAAAAAAAATTCATTATGACGCTTCAAGGCGCTCAAGAAGTCATAGGTCGAACAGTTAGTTCTTCGGAAGATGTTTGCCCATCATCTTGATCTTTAAAAGATCTTTGCTTTTAAAACCAGTTTCAACACTCATAAAATGTTTTTCCCCAATATTGGCGGCGAAAAAAAATGTAGTTTAAACTTGGCGACATTTAAATGATTTTTCTAAGCTGCAGAATATACGAGTAGTTAAGAACAATTTGATCAACAATTATTAGTTCGTTTATAATTATTCAAATTGCTGCTGATATGTTTATAATTATTCAAAAGTATTGAATCAATATTCTTTCGAAAATAAATATTTATAAAACTGTAGTTAAATATTAATGATTTAATTCCGTTTTCTCAATTATATAGCTTTATAATATCATTTGAACACTTAATTTAATTGGGAATACTTTGTCCAATGATTATGAAATTATTTATAAAAAGTAAAATTTTCAAACAATTTCCGATGGGTACTAGTATGTTTATAGTCCTAATTCTAAAGTATATAATTAATATTTTTTCGTAAAACTAACTATTTATAAAACTAGTTTGATGATTTTTAAATTTTCTTTAAACTATTTAGTTTTAGAATGATATATAAGCAATTATCCAAATTGAGTATATTAAGAAATTACGTGTTATAAATTATTTTTATCGTAATGTAATTGTCATTTGGTATTAACTTGTTTATAACAGGAATTTGAAAGTTAAATAATAAATTTTTTTCAGAGAAAAATAAGTAGCACTAACGGAAGACAATAATTAAATAACATAATTAATCTAAATTTTATTTGTTTGTTCATTCAGTTTTATTTATTTATTATTATTTTTGCAAAATTATATAATGTTCTAAAATTTTTTTTGAACTGTAAGTACATTTTTTAAAAAAAAATATTACAATGAATTGGTTTTTAATTTCTTTTCTCGTTGTATGAATAATATTAAAGTTTTCAATAACTAAAAATATGGCACATCCTTTCTAACTATTAAATTATTAATGGTAAAAAATAAAAATATTTATTAAACACTTCGATTCACGAGGTAATAAATTTAAAATAATGATACAAAGAATTTAAATTAAATAATACAAAGAAAAATTTTTTTTCAATAGAAAACTATAAAATATGGATTTATTTATATATATATNTATATGTATGTATGTATGTAATGTGTATGAAGCATAAATTTTTAGTTTTTGAAAGTAAAAATATTTTTTTATAAAATCTTTAAACTAAATATTGGACAGCATTTATATGCTCTAATTGCCCAAAATTATAATTTTTTTTTTATCTAAGTTTAAAACCTATCAACTGGCATAATAATTAACTCAATTTCAGAAATTTGGGCAGTATTTATGTTTAAATTTTCTATACAAAGTTTCATTATTTCTAAAAAATGTTATTATGTAAAAATTCAATGACATATTTTGCAATAAATACAGGTTTGACGGATTTCAAAAATTTATAACTGCGAAAAAATAATTTTTTTCAACAAATAGTGTGAAAAGTTTACATTTACCACCCAAACTTTCAGTTTTTAATTCAAATTTTTTTCAACAGATGGTGCTGCAGATAATTAACATCTAAATCTAAGTAAAATTCTTGAAAATTGCAAATTTGGAAATTTTAATATATTACCATTTTCAATTGTTTTCATTGATTCTTTCAAAAATTTTTTCTTATCGAATCATTTAAATTGCATTTAAACGCACTATCATAAATACTCAAAAACAGCATTCGTCAACATAGAAAGAATAGTCGAAGGGATTTGCAGCGTCATCTGCCCAAAAGGTTTAAAACATGATTTTGTCTTAAATTTTTTTTAATTAATTAGTATATAAGTGAATATCTCTCATGCTAAAATTAATGTTAAATAAATTCGGAAACTAAGCAATGTAAGAAATAAATCAAATTCTGAAATTCTGGCTATCGATGGCTATAAAGTTCAAAGATATGCAAAATAACTTGCAATTACATAATAAAAACAAACTAAAAAATTCAAACTCCAGAATTAAATCTTCCCGCCACAATAAATTGAATTTGAAACTAACATTTGAAAGCAAATAAATGAAAAAAAAAATATATAAATAAATAAATTCCAAAATTTTGCTTCTGATTTCAAAAGAATTCATAGAAATAAGAAATAAAAACTTATTTACTAAACGATAATAAATCAAAATTTCAGGTCAAAAAATTACATCAATGTAGATTTAAAAAAACTTAAAGAAAATAAAATTGATTTAAAGGAAACAAATAAAAAAAAATTAATTCTGAAATTTTTAAATTTTTGTTCCAGTTTGTATCTTCGTAATTTCGAAAAATAAAATCAAAGAATTTGAAACAAAATAGGTATACTCTATATGAATAATTTAGCAATAAATTAAAAAATAAAACTTGAATTTAATATTAACAATAACATAAAATTACATTAAAAAATACAACTACTTAGAAAGCAAAAAAAGGGAAACTGAGGCCCAGCAAAATTATCGCTTAACATATTTAAATAAAAGCTGAAATAAATTTATAATTCAGTAATTAAAAAAAGCAATCGAAATTGGAATCGTTGACAATTTTTGTACCTAAAATTTTGGTAAATTCTGAGTTTTCTAATTTAATTGTAGCTTTGTGATTTCCACAGAATTCTAGGAATAAGAAATGAAAAATGTCCCACACAACAATTACTTAATGAAATTAAATTAATAGAAATAAACCAACTGAACTTTTTTTTAATAAAATTACGCCAAATACCAGCGCATCTCGCCAAATAAGATTAATTCTTCATCTTACAAGTCAGCAAATCATTAAATAAAATTTATACAATCTATCAGCGGTAAAACTGAAATCGTGTTTCTAGATTCCTTCTTTTCCCCGACCAGCATATCGTGCATCCCGATCAGAAAAAAAAAGATAACTTTCTCGCGTTCCTTCCGATTTCTAAGTCAGGCGAATGAAAAATATATTAAAAAAGTAAAAGTAGGCCATACATTTTTGTCCATCCTTTCGGCCTTCATTTTAATGTGACAACTCTATATTTATAGTTATTTTCGTAGAGCTCTAACATTGTTTTACTACTAAGTAACTGATTTGTTGAGGGAAAAGTAGGTTTTTCAGACAAAAAACAGACTCGAAACGTGCATTCATAATCCACTTTTAAAAAGCAAAGTACAGCTTTATAGTTTGGTGAGTAAATCAAATATTTATTTTTTTGTTTGATTAGTAATAAAGTTATATTTATGTAAATCAATAAATTTTATTATTTCAATATTACGTAAAAAGTTATATTTTAGTTAAAGTAATATTTTGCTATTCAATAAATATATTGTAAACGTAAAGTAGACTTTCTTCAAAAATATTAAAATATGTTACTATGCATAAAAACATTAGTATATTAGAAAAAATGTAGTTTTATCTGTTTGTGTTTTTCATTTTTGTATCAATGAAATATTTGTTTACTGAAAATATATTTTAAATTAAAGTTAACGTAACTTAAACTAAACAGCAATATCTGAATATTCGAAATATTTAACTGGATATTTTGAAGATCACGATTGCTGTACAATCATGAACTTAAACAACTTCCATGCATCATACTGAAAGTATAGTTTGAATTAATGTAAATCTAAAGTAAACTGAATTGTATGTGAATAATAGAAGCATTTAATTTGATATTTCGTAGATCACGATTGCGTCTATCATGAACTTTAAACAACTTTTTTGTACCATGCCCTTTTTATCTAAATTCTTTTTTTTAAGCTAAAACTTGACATATAAGTGCTAGATTTAAAATTTTGAATTATGAACAATAGTTTGTTTACAATTAAAAAATATAAAATATGTTCATTCCGTGTTTTTTAAAGATAGTTGATATCTGCGGATTTTAATTCGAAGTTTTTCAATATATTGTCGATTTAATTCAATTATTGCAAATTTAAATGACATTTTGTAAATTAAGTTGTTGAGTTTAGCTATGACATCTTCAAATCATCCACTTGCTTTCTGCAAAAGAAATCATTTCACTTTTTGTTACAAGCAAATTGAACTCGAATACTTGTTGTAATCCGTCTAAAAAGTTATTTTTCCTATGCAAAAAATTCAGATGGTTTTATTAAGTTTTTCAATGAAACAACTAATATTGAAATATTAATAAGTAGTAGCACAGACACAATTGACTTCAAATAAAAATGTGGGCAGTGGTAGCTTAGTGGTTAGAAAATCGGACTGCGAGTACGTACATGCGATATACCTGCTTGTGAAATCTATGAAATCGAAAATCCTGTGGTCTGTCGCTGAGCAACATCACGAGTACAGGGATCTGGAGAAAATTTCCTTCCCCTTCAGGTCTACGTAAAAATATAGGAATTGGCCTCACAAATTGGGATGGCATGTCTCCTGATCAACCTATGGTATGTTTCCCAAATCTTCGCCAATAAACGATTGTGCAGCTCTAGGGCTACGTAAATAATGTACCCACCTTCCTAGCTACAAGTAAAAATGTAAAATCGAAACTAATATGGAAACGAGGATAACAACGAGGTTTTCGATGCATTTTATATGCAATAATAGGTAAAAATGGACTATTTTGCAAAATAATACAATACCTTATATTATCTTCTGGTAAATATGAAAATCTAGATTCTCCAGTGCAATTACTTAGTTTATTTTCCTGATTTTCTTTCATGTGCATTCCATCAAATTTCTTTCGCTTGATAGCCTTTGTAATATTGACTCATACTCTCTTGTGAACTGAAAATGTTTTTTAATACATGTGGTAAAAATTCCACATTTGTTAAAAATCATTGCATGCATAATTATTACATGCACATGTATTGATATTATGTTCTAATTTTTCTAAATTTGATTTAAAGTGATATTGATCTCTACGCAAATATTATAATATCTGTCTAAAATTTGAATAAAAAATCGAGTTAATCTTAATTTTTTTCCTTTTGTTCCCTTCTGTTAAGATCAAATTCCTTACATTATATACCAAGTTGTTTGCATTAAACTATGCATTTAATCAATTAAATACCTAGGAAACAGTTGTGAGATGGAAAACTTAATTTTTATTATTTTTCTTAGTAATTTTTTATTTGCCTTTTTTCCTTTTATTTATTAACTAATTAACGTATTCTTTGAAATGCTAAAAAAATATTTTGTTTCACCCTTTTAGGATTATGAATGTAGAATTAATAAAACTGAAATTCTTTGTGAACCCATTTTAAGAATTCAGTAGTTGAAAAGATCGCGTTAATGAGAGAAGTGTAATATATATCAAGGGAAAACAATCACCTGTACATGCACCAGTCTTATAATAATTACTAAGACATACATTAAAATCAAAACTAGTGATCTTCTACCAGACGCAATTTTATGTGTTTTCTTTCCGTACAGCAGAAAATAAGATTAGAAAATAGATAAGAAAATAAGATTATTTTATTACGAAATTGCAACGTAAATATCATTAAAAAAGTCATGTAATTTTTCAAAAAAATTATGAATAAAAATTATGAATTAAGAAATCATAATCTTTCATAATCAAAAAAATTATGAATTATGAAATCGGAGAATTTAGTAAAAGGTTGAGCTATTCTAAAATGCCAAAAAAAGCGATAAAATATGCGGAATTGCAAAAAAAAAAAAAAAATGGTTTACTTCTAATGCTTTATTATAGCAAGAGTAGCATTTTCTTCAGATGGTGCTACCAGTAGTACTTTGGTATGACCTTTCCTGTTGCTCCCTCATTCCCCTAACAGCCCGTCACTTTTTCCCTCATTATTATTTACTCAGATGCGGCTAGTCTATTATGGAAACAGGATCATGTTACCCCTCCACCAGTTATTTTTATTAAAAAAATTCTTTGTAATATCCAGACCATAACATAAACGCTATTTTCTCTCTCTCTATATATAAAATGACTGTGTCTGTGGGTGTCCTTTATAGACTCCTAAACCATGAAACCAAAATCTATGAAATTTGGCATACAGGTAGTTTGAATCACGAAGAAGGTCGCTATCGACATTAGAGCATTCTACGACGAACTGTTCGAGCGGTATAAGCGGAAAGCGAATTTTGCAATTTGTTAAACGTTAGGCATTGTTTTAAATTTTACTGAAGACCATTTAATTTTTCGCATATTTTAAAAATAACAGTGACAATTACTAGCTTGTAGCTCTTTTTGATAAGAAAAATACTTTATTTTACTTATTTAAATATTTAATTATTTTATTACTAATTACTTATTACTATGTCAGATAAATTTAATGTACGTGGCAGCACGCGGAGTCCTTTTTACCAAGTTTATACTTCTAAAGTTGTCTGATACTAAGCGCTTTTATTTAATTTATAATATTTCTTTTAAAACGTGTTTCTAAAAAATTATTTACTTAAAATCAACGGTAATTGGATAATAGAAAAATATTTACGTATTTAAAGGCAAAATTACTGGGAGTGTGGTACTAAATTTTTAGGAGAAGCATAAAAAATCACCATATTATTTTTGACGCCCGATATTTAATTAATTTAGGTAATATATGTATATTGAAATGAATTAAATAAGATATGTACTAGAAAGCAAAAGTAACGGAGTAAAATTATTTATTTTTCTAGAAGAATGGTAAGAAATCGTGATACTATCATTGCGAACAAGGATGTTTAATTAATGTAGGTAATATTTTAATTGATTTAAAAAAACTTACGCACTGAAAAGTAAAAATAATGGAGAAAAAATACTTATTCATTTTGGTGAGAGGTAAAAAATCTTCATGTTATTATTGACACGAATGCCTTATTAATATTGATAATAGGTAGTAATTTAAATAAAATAAGCTATGTGCTTAAAAGAAAAGTTTAAAGAGAAAAGTTTAATAGGGAATTTGGTTAGGAAAACAGTAGAAAATCGTCATTCACAGATGTCGCTTAACTAATGTGTACTACTGACGGCAATATGTGTTACTGGTATTATGTTACTTGGTGCAGTTTTAATAAGAATTCTTCAGCGGGTTTTCTGTAGTTTAAGAAAATATTTTTTTCAGTCTTAGCAAAGATACTGCATTAATATTTTAATGACTAAGAATTGAAAGAACATTTTCCATCACTACTTATAAATATTTTAACAGTATATGAATGGTCAGAAAGAAAAATGGTCATATTTCAAAATCCTTATCAAGCTCTAGGAAGATTCTTTCGCTATTTTTTTTTCCTTTTTTTTTTTTTTTTTTTNATCTAAACTAAATAAAAGTTCAGAATTTGTTTTTTTTTTTTTTTTTTTTTTTGAAAAAAATATTTCGATCTTAGTTGGCCTATCACTGACATGTATTTTGCACAAAATTCAAATGTTGAAAGACTATGCAATAAGTATCAAATATTCTAATATAGGTATAAAATATTATATTGATATATTTGCTGATTATACAAACAACACCAATACTACTCAGTTTTATAACTGATACTTTGGATATGAGTTTCATACGGCCTCTCGAAAGGGATATGTATCGGAGGGAATTATTTGATACCGGTAAATTTTGATTAGCATGAGTTGACCACGGGCAATAGCATCATGCCAAGTGATGCTAAAAACATTTTATCTTTATTCTAATGGGATGATCTACAAAAACGAATTTTGCTTTCTTCAATAACGCAAAGCGACCAAAATGGGCAGCAAAAAATACTAAATATTTTTAAAAGTCATTCTAGCTTTTTTAATTTAAAAACTTAGTGGAAGAACCAGGTAAGTGAAATTTTCAGAATGAAAAAAAAAAGTTTTGTCCGAACTATTTTATAACTAATTTGTTAAAAAGCAGGGCTAATAATACTTTGCTTTATTTACTACTGCCTAATTTGAAAAAGGAAGCATTCCAGCATACTTAAAACTGATGTAGAATACTCATATTAATTTTAAAGGGGAAAGCAAGAACAGTTCTGTTACATTAAACATACCCATATTGACACAAACACTTTTTTTAATTTTCTCTGAGTCATTAATTCCCCTGAAAACTTCGTTTACCTGGTTCTTCTATCAAGCTCTTTAACACTGTCGGTATATACTTCGCAGTTTTGAGCACGATTTCGCAGTGTTTCTCAGTACTGATTTATTGATTCCTTACTTTTTTTTTTATTCACCCCGTGCGAGAAATAGGCTTACGGACATTCACCTAGTAAAGTTGATAAACGAAAGTAATTTA